CAACTGAGGAAAATTACATTTGATTGAAGAAGCGTCTTGGCCTCAATAATGCGTGTTTGCAAATCTAACTAGATAAAGGATCTTGTTGCGATGGGTAGTTTGGGCAGTGCAGTATTTTCTTCATTGAATTTTACAACCTGTATTTATCATCTTCCCTGGCTCCATTGAGTTAAACAGAATAATTGGAAACATGATAAAGGCATCCTTTTAAATCATGAAATTTACTGACGCTATAAAAATGGCGTGGTCAATTAGGCAAGCCAAGTTTGGATTTATGCTAGAGAACAGTGAAAACCGTCAATGAAATGTACTTCTCTTTCGTGTTTAAGGGGCCCTATTCTTAATTACAGCTGTTATTTTTGTCATCAGTTCCCTTTTGATTTTCTGCTCTGGATCAGAACTCAAGTGAAGTTGGTTTTATCATAAAACTTTTCTAAGCCCTGCCTGAATCCGACTCCCAGTCTGCTGGTGGGAGTTGTGAAGCAAAGGATGCAAGGGAGGGCTTGATTCTTTGCAGGTGTTGAGCTCTAGTGTAGAAACACTTTGATGGTGTGGGTGGAAATGGGAAGCTTTGGTTCAGGTCACAAGTTCATGTATAGCATACATAACAAGTTTCAAAGAAGTATATTTAGCTAGGAGATACATCTGTCAGAAATGTATGGTAAAGATGCATCAACAAATGAGTGGAGTAATTCTCAAAACATAGAGGGGAAAAATCAATACTATAGTTTTTAATTTCAGTGTTTTGACTTCATTGAGTCACATTACAATCTGAGGTCCAGCTGAAATCAGAATAGCCAGCGTAAGACTCAGCAGTAAAATAAAAGGCATATGTAACAAAGCGGTAATGACTGCAGTGAGACATTTTACAGTCGGTGTGATCATTTCCCGAGTTCACACAAAGCAATCACTTAGAGCACTTCTGTGTCTATGGCCATCTTTATGGCCAAGTTGAACCCAGGCCTTACTCCCTCCCCCTGCTCCCCACTCCTCCACTTTGACCGCACCTACCCACCCGGAGCTAGTGTTTCTGCTTGGACATCTGTTCAGGAATGGCTGTTGCAGATGTTGTTGACGGCTATTAAGCAGAGAGGAAGTTCCAGGCACTCCAAAGTCCAAATGTTTCTTTTTTCATTTCCCTGTTTTGGTTTAGTTTTTTTTTCTCCAGATCTGAAAGAAGAGGCGGTATTCCTACGGGAGTGATAGGAACCAGATTTTTATTGGTCTCTTTTGCTACAATATAGTCGGTATGAATTTTGTTTCCTGATAAATAGAGGGTATGTTTCTATACTGCTATATTTGATTCCCAGTGTAATTTTAGCAAGGGAAGCACAATCTTTAGAAACTTAGACACACACGCACGCTAACAGGGTGACTCATGGCATCACCCAATCCACAGCTGAGTTTAAGTGAGACCTCCTGAAAGACTGGGAATTAATGCCAGCTTGTATCTGGCTCATGCCTTGTGAATGCTGGTTGTCTCACTGTTGCATTACTCTTGGATGGTGACTGAGGATGAGGATGGGTATTCAGAGGTGTTGTCTTTTTTCTTAACACCCATTACCTTTGTGTAAATCAAGTGTAACTACTTTCATATGAAGTGAATGCAGAAAAAATTTAAATTGAATTAAGGCAAGTAAATGAAGACTTGGTAAAGAACTTTGTTTATCCTTTTTGTTATTTTCCTTCACTGTTGGAGTTGCGAATGTTTTCTGCATCAGGCTGCTGTTGTTGTTCACTTGTCTTTCCTCTCCCATTGCTGTATTTCTTTAGCGTCCTGGATCCATTACTGAAAGCATTACAGCATCAGCAAAAGATTTATTCTTTTCTTCCCTTTTTCTCTCAAGACCGTGATAGCTAACAAAGCCTACAGAGAATTGCTCTTCTCTCCAGTACTGTGGGGCAGTACCATAGCTTTTAATGCTCCCTGGCTGCTCTTCTCTTTGGCACTTGGTCATGAAGGTGGCCGGCCATTCAAACTGATTATTTAAGACTTCAAATCCCCAAAACCTTGAGGTCAACAGTAACTTAATTCTCTTAAGATCCACTGGTGGCCCCTATGTCTGACAAATTAAGCCCCCTAGATCAAATCTAATATGTTGGGCAACGTTTTAAGTGACTTCTTCCAAATCTTAGTTGAAAACCGATGTTATTATGCAATCAGGCCAAGTAAATTTTTTCAGTGTCAGGAGACTCGTGTGTTCCAAGTACAAACACTTCTCACCTTGTATAATGTATAATTTGTTTCTACTTACAGTCTATTTGTTGATTCAGCCTAATTTACAAAAATCATAACTTTTTACCTCGTGAAAACTTTTCTTGATATATTAAAGTGATCTTTGTTTTTGCATCATTGCCAACCAGCCTAATGATGATTATGTTCTATTAGCTGAATGAGCGGTAATTATCATCAGTACTCAAAGAATTGCTTTATAGTGCTTTATATAAACTTCCAACCTTGAGGTAATTATAGACAACAAAACTATAATTTATGCTAATGGTGGAGAAAGATAAAGAAAACCACAATTTATCCCCTGATTAGATTTAGTTGTTATGAGCGAGAGCATTTCGTCTTGCTGTTTTAGACTGACTTTATACTTTAGAGCCAAGCATGACAGTATTATCCTCAAATACTGGAGACGAGTTGTTCTGACAAAGAAAGTCGTGGGACAGGATATGGACCCGAGAAGTTCGTGTGTAATCGCTGCAGAGATCTCACACACTGTTCCAACTTTGTAAATGCTTTTGTGAGTCTGTGGGCTGCTCCTCACAGCTGAGAATGCAAACTGCTCTCAAATGGAGGTTCAGACGTTAATTGAGTGAGACAAGTGTTTACAATCTCATGTGTCAACCATAGCATCCCTTAAACCCCGGTAATTGTACACTTAGATACAGTAAGTACTGACGTATGATCATGCTTGAGTTTATGCACACAGGCACACATACTCAATGTACGATTTCAGACAGACAAGCACTTGAAAGAAGCCAGTTTTGATCCCTAATAGAAGAGTAGAGACTGTAGAGATGCAATGGATGTCTGCCATAACGAAACCATTAAGCAGGTGGATCTTTCCTCTTAGTTTCTCACCGAGCTGTCTGTCTGAACACTTTTAGCATATAGTTTCTAAAATATGATGGCTGTTTCAAGAATGTAAACGTCGTTTGACACAGAAGGAAATGCAAATGTTTCCCAGAATTGTTAGCATTATACACCGTTTCTGTATGCTAAATAAACATATAACTGGAGACAGAAGGCAGGGAGCTTTAATTTAAACTGAGTTTGAAGATTGGAAGAAGACTACTAGCTCTATCAGGATTTTTTAGTCTTAATGCTAAGTTGGCTGGCTGCTGGCCTCAGTTTCAGATTTATAGTAAAGATATAAAAGTGTAATATCTTAACATGTTGAGTATGAACATGAAATCCATTTTTTTTTAAACGTATGAGTTGTCTTTACACCAAAACTCCAGGCTAAGGCTCTAAATATTTCAGTGTTTTATAGGTTCTCACACAGTGTGATTCCTTTGACCCAGATCTAACAGATGACTAGATTATACTAGGTCAGCCCACTTAGCCTCGATCCACTCCTGTCCTTGAAGCGTCCTAATTATCTCATTGAGTGAGTCAGACTGATTTCTTACACTAATAGCTTCCATCGGGCTGGCTTGGCCTAACATACTGTGGTGATGAAGCAGCACATTTTGTGGTCAGATTGGCAGAACTTCTTGCCGGAGGGTACTGGGGTGGTTAACTGAACCTTTGGGGCACATCACAAGCTCAGAACTTTAAAGTAATGGCTGGGCTGGGGGGTTGGGAAGCAGTGTGGGATGTTACAGGGCAGCAAACATCATCTGTAATGAGGTTTTTTTCCTTCCTTTTCTTTTTTTCTTTTTTTTGCCAGCTTGCATTTTTGGCCCTATTTTTGTGTGTGTGTGTGTGTGTGTGTTGTTGTGTGTCTGTTAAGCATATGCAAGATTATCTCAGCAATAAGGGCACCTTGAATAGGACCGAAGTACAGAGCTCTCATAACTAAAAGCTTTCCAGGCATCACTGAAATAAGGAAAAAAATTATCAATAAGATCCTGCTGTCAGGTCATGTTGAAATGCATTTCTTCAAACCATGCACAAGCACAAAGCTTAGTGAATATTTCCCTCCATCTCTCTTTTTGTATGCTTGTGTTGACAGGATGATTGTATGTTAATTTTTGTATGTCTGTTGTCACATGAAAGTTTTGTTGTCCAAATTAACAGCAGTGCTCTGCAAGTGTATACATGCAATGCAATCCTCTCTGTTGGTGGTTGCAGTCTATCTATAGGAACCACCTCAACGAACTAAAGCTCTACTCAACAACACTCCAGCTGCACTGCACTGCTCTGTAATTAGAGCATCAAAACCGCAGATCTCTAATGTTGTCTGGCTGACTTTCAGCGCCGTGGGAGATTAGGATCCCCTTGCGATGTCTCACTAACCATTCTCCAACAGTTTCCTTTCTTTTTCTAAATTTGAACCCAAATAAAAAACATTGCTGGTGAGCATAACACATTATAGAACCCAGGAAAACAGAACTTAATTGAAATGACTGGATCATAAAGTTTCTCTTAGATGTGATGTATAACCCAAGAGTGGGATGTGGAGAAGTGAGAACAGTGGGGATGAAATGTTTATTTATGCCACCACATGACTCGTTCCTAGTTGCCAAGTTTCTTGCTGCATTTGTGTGTCATCATGCTTGTACTCAGTGATGACTGTAATCATTAAAGACATAAAAAACATCAGATAGGACATCAATAAAATATTCCTGTGGTTGTTTCTTATTGCGTTTGCTGTAAAATAATGAGTTTTCTTATGATGGATTTTTACACTTGGCAGTGGGGAAACGTATTGAATATGTTTTATTCAGCTCAGTTTTTCTAACTGATTCATGAAAAATCAGAGAAAGGACTAAAAATCCCAGTTGTGTTTGACCTTTCCGCTTTCCTCGCCACTCTTTTTCTGCTCTAGGTGCTTCGTGGAGCTCAGTTGATAGCTGTCGCTTCAGCTGATGGAGGAGCCACAGCAGTGGAGGGCTCGCCACTCCCACCTGACATCCAAGTGCAGTATGTCCAACTAGCTCCTGTTGCAGATCACACGGCTGCTGTACAGGTAAAACACAAACACACACCCTCTCCAAAAAAAGCAAAACTCCGCAAAGAGCACATTGAGTGTAACTGAGTAGCCTCATGGAACAGATCCCCCAGTAGTAATCTTGCAATTTTATTGCTTGCTTTTAGTTATTCCACAATAAATATTGCATTTCAGAATACTGTAAGAAAACATGTCTGTTTTGATGTTGATCACTTTTGTCTAGTTTGTAAATAAACTGTAAATATAATCTGTTTTCTGTTAAAACGATGCCAGTCAGACTCAGTAAACAAAACAAACAAACATTAAGATGCCAAATTACCTCAAGAATCAAGAATGTATATAAATCCAAATGGGGCTGGTTTCATTTTCTCGAGCTAGGATGCATCTTGGAGCTTGCAGTTATTGCTCGAAAAGGAAATGTACAGTCTTCTACCTTTAAATGTATTTATTGAACTGCTTTACCATTCATGAAGAGGCAGTAAATGTACTGTATATTTTCATTGTGCTGTTCAAATATTGCTTCAAAAATTTAGCTGAAGTACTTGTAGGTACACCAAATCTGCTTTTCTCCTTTTCTTATACCATCGCTTAAATGGCATACATTCTGCTTTCTGTCATTATGACAGGTGTTTGGACAAACAGTAATTAAACATAATCAAGTTGAGGTGGAATGTTACAAGAGGGGAGAAAGTAGTAATTAGTAGATATTTCTAAAATCCTTCAATGAGTGAGCTTGCTGAGCAACAGCCACATGTGGAATCAGGATGTTGTGCAGACACTTGCCTTTGTAGTCTTTGAAGTGGTCACTTTAACCCTTCAAAAAATGCACGTCTCCTTTGTTCTGTCATCTTTTCTTTTCCCCAGATATGATGAATATTTAGTCCTTTTTTTCCTACTTTTTTCCTTGACGCGTGTGCTACGAGTCAGGTTTTTGTGGTGTGATAATGTAAATAGGCGGAATCTCAGCCTACTTCTGGTTCCAGTCCTGTCCTGATATGAATCAGGACAGGCTTATTCATCTTCCTGTAAGAAATGTGCTGACCAGCCATACAGCAGTGGATTTGAAAGGAAAAAAAAAAAGATTTTGCCTTTTGAGTAAGGAATTGCTGTCCATAGTTGTCTCAGTAATCTGTTCCTTGCCCATGTGAACACGAAAGTAGTTAGAGCATTTTATACTGATTACATTTTTTGGGTGTGGATTATACACATACTGATGGCCTTGTTATACAATTTATTTGTGTACTGAGCCCACAAAGTTTTTGCCACTCAATGTACTGTATTTCAGAATCTGTACTTTATATTTCTGTGCGCAGTGAGAATTCAAGCTGTTTGTTTACACAAGTGATTTGTTTGAATGAACCTTTACATCTAAAATGAGCTCATTTTTTTCCTAATGTTGGATTGTACACAGATCTTGACAGATATCAACAAAGTTGACAGAAGTCTGATCAGTCACAAGTGTGATGTTGATGTTGAGTAGAGCTGGGGTTCACCAAGAGCATGTGGACATGCTCAACAACAGACTGAAACTGCTCATAAACAGCGGTGTGTTTACTAACCGAGTAGACTTTAAGCTCCCATTCTAAGATGTTTTAAAACACATCTGTATGCTAACATTGATATTTTTCCAGGTTTAAATGAAAATCTTTACCCGAAAGGACCTAATAAAACAAAGGACATGTAGGCTGTATTGTTTTGATGTCCTAGTTTAAACGTTGTTAACTTTCTCTTCAGAGTTCATAGAAAGGTTATTTCTTTTCCTGCTTTTCTGCACTCTGCTAAGCCAAGACACTGGCTCTCATCTGTTTACACGCATGTGGAAGCATTCATGCAACATGCTGGAAAATTACTCCAGATTTTGCATTTAGTTTTCTCTGCATTTTCTTCTTTTTCTTATTTAATAGTTTCCATTAGACATATGAAGTGGTGCGCAATGCAAGGCGATATATTTTTTATCTAAAGAATGCATAGCAGTTCTAACTTCTGGCTAAACTGTGACACAGTTTAAAGCTGAGACTGCAAAGCACCGGCAGCCTGGTTTTAGTACACATGTTACATATTTTCGTTCTTCCATTTGTTATTTGCAAGGGTAGAGCTAGGTCTGTGCTATGATAGCTTAAGAGTCTTTCAGTTCTCATTTAAAAAACAAAACAAACTTGGAATCAAAGGTGTTGAACTTGCCATTTTTACTGCCGCTGTGTCTCATGTTTGTGTTGTGTGTGCTGCTATGGTACAGCTGTGCTACAGTCAATGCTGTTGTCTTGTGACAGCACGTTGGGCTGGAGAGAGAATTAAACGCTGCAGGTGTGTTTGAGGGAACCTTGGATGTGTGTTTGAGGAACAAATGAGTCACTCCTCATGGTCATCGTCCAGAACTGAGTCATCTTTTACAGGGCTTTTAGACACACAATAACTCGATACATCTGACATCGACTATAGAGACAGTCAGGGAAGCATTTAAATCCAAATGGCTAGCCTCTTGTTTTTCTCCACTTGTCAATCTCCTCATAACCTCTCCCTCCTTCTCTGATATATTTCTTCTGTAATCTATCTTGTCATTCCTCTGCTCCTTCTGTGTGTTGTTATTCACTGTGGTTGTCTTACACAATAAAATGGAATCAGGATATAGCTTAGTCACATTGATTAGTCCACAGGAAAGTCTTCATCATTTGTGATAGGTGTCATTAGGCCTTTACAAGGTGTGACCGCAAAGTTTTGGGACTCCAGCCATTAAAAGATGTAAATTCACCCTATTTTTTATTCCCAGAGTTGTCTCCTTGTGTGCCTTTGTGGTCCTGCTAATTTAAGATCACTCCCTGGAAGTTGGGTTCTGACCACTTCCATTTACACATTTGGGATTTTAGGATGGGCTTTATGAAATGCAGACAGCTTTTTGTCTCAATCTCACTTGACTTTTGTAGCGAGGCAATGATATTGTGTGACTATATTTGACTAGTACGCAGAGAAAATGCTCCCATATCGTGAAAATGAATGTTCGTCACATTTTGGGATGTTTATATATGAGGTTTAAAGCGTATAGCTGCTTACCAACATCATTTTGTCTAGCCTCCCTACAACTGGACCTCCTGGCAGCTTTACAAGCCAGCACTTTTTCCACTTGCCATGTCAAAAATGGATAACTACTTTGTGTTAACCTAAAAGTGCCTATAATCCCAGCTTCTAACTGCTTGTACCCCTACTGGCAAAGTGATCCGATTTCAAGGGCTAGTTCCAACAAAGAAGCTAAATTGAGGGCGAGATTCATTATATAAGAAACCAAAAAAGATTTAACTTTTGGCTTCTTGTACCTTCATTTGGTAGGAATGGATTAAGAAAGGCAGGGAAGTGGTGAGACAGAGGGTGGATGTGATGCAGCAATGAGTGGAGACTTGATCCACTCCCACAGTAAGGCGTAAACTTTTGACAAAGAAAGTCCCAGCCTCAACTGAGGGGAAACATATTCCTTTGAGATCAGGGTACTTTTTAGTCAACTATGTTTCAGTTGGTTAGTTTGTGTTATTGCATGTCTTTTGATCTTTTAACATGTTAGTTATGATCCAAATGTTTGTGTTTAAACACTAAAGTCACAGCAGCTGATGATCAGCTGCAACGTTCTGTCACGTAAAATTGTTTTTGTGAACGGATTTTGGTGGTTTTTATGAGAGCAACACAACAGCTACAGTTACACAAGAGAAAAGACTCTCTAACAGGAAAAAATAAACAGTTAGAATACTCTCTGGAGCCTCCCAAATCATCTGAAATAACCCTTTGATATACTCCGCTCTTCAGAGAACTTAAGACTGGTTTAAGACTGGTCCTCAGTCCCCCTTACCTGGTGAACATTCAGTAAAAGTACTGAACGTTTATTGTATTTTCACCTTTCTTGTCACCTATTTCATCTCTTCTCTTTTCTTTATCTCAGGCTGCTGAGCTGGCACCAGCCCTGCAGGCAGACATGGAAGTGAAAGAGGCCATCCAGGGTGCTATCCATGGAGACAATGGCGAGATCGTCCAGATTGTGACATCTGTGGCCACTTGAGAGTCCATCTGGTTTGACAAAGATTAGAATCTTTCCCTACAGCAGGACCTGAAGAGTATGGAAGATCGGGGGTCAACAAATGCATACAGTCTGACAAGCGCTCAAGTTAGATAGTCTTTTAACAAATATTGAAGGTCATGGATAAAACAAAGAGGAGCCTTTTTTCTGTTTTCCCCTTGCAAACTGCTTAATTCATTGTTAGCCAGATGTCGCAATGTGGAAATGCTCAGAGATTGTGAAAAGACCAAGATGCTTCAAAATCAACTGTGGCCCCTTCTGGTGGTTTCATCACTATAATGACCTGACAGGCCGAAGAATGCACAGCGGGATTATTGTCTCTTCAAGGAGGGTGCTGCTCCTGGACACCATCACCCTGCCACTTCATCAGCACCAGTACTTGTTTACATCAGCTTTGGAAAATAGTGGGTTATTTGGACTTCAGCTGTTTGACTAACCCTGAGATGCCGCAGAGGGTTTGCAAAAATCCCTGAAAATTCCTCAAAACAACCAGCACTGCACTCCTTTTTTCGTCCCTTCTTGTCACAATGATCTGAAGGAGAAAGTAGAATTTGCTGTGGACAGCTGCTCTTTGTCCTAATTGATTTGATTTCCCAACACTCACCTGGATCTGGTCCATATTATCTCTCCTGGCTGTGAGACACTTTATTTTGTTCAACTTGTTTTAATTCAGCCACACAGCTTTGTTTGTTTTTGGTTTATCTAATTGTAACATGTTGAAATATTGGGGGAGATTTAATTCCAGAGGTAGAAGGCCGTGAAATGGAAGAGACCGGGTCAATGGTAGACAGTACAAGTTGCTTATAGACAGCCAGGGAAACCCTGAAGTTGTTTATATCCCCCAGTTTTGTCTCTGTGACATCCATTCATGTGAATAAAACATGTTTGTGGTTGCCATTAAAGTGTGCTTTTGTTTAGCTTTCCCCCTCTAGTTTCTCTCTCTCTCTCTTTTTTTCATCAGACATGGTCATCAAAATAGCTCCAAGACATGACTTCGCTTTGATCTACTACAAACAGACAATCGAAATGAGTCTGAAATGATAGTTGGGGTTTGAGGTCTTGTTTCATGTTGAGCTAATTTATTAGCTATTTTTGAAGTAAATCTGTATCATGTCAACATCAATAAGTGTAGGATTAGGCTACTGTACTGTCAGGAACCCTAACAAAATACAGAGCAAATATAAGCTTTTCCATACACTCGACATGGTTTTTGTCAGGAGACTATAAATTTATGTTTAGTCCTCATTATAATTTTTAAACTGTGACTGCATTTTTTGTGCCCACTGCGTGTCTATGCCTTTCTTTAAGTAAAGACAAAGGACTCTTATTAGAATGATCCTCAAGAAATGACTAAGAAAAAAAAAGATGAGCGAGACACTCAACTGTGTTGGGATATGTTTCCCATGGTCAGCATGATGTAATAGTGTATTTTGGAGTGGGGAAAAGAGTTAGGCGACAAAATGAACTCGATAAAACAACATTCATAGTCTTGGCTGCTTCCTTTTGTTTCCTTTCAGTCTGTTGCTGTGTTTGAGTCCTTTCACACAGCCTCTTCATCTTGTACATTCCCCTCACTGCTTCTCCCACGTCTTGCTCTTCTCCCACTCAACTTGTGTTTTCTTTTCCTTTTGGAAGTTGCATTGAAGTTATGCACTAAGCTGGGCTAAAATTTCATGGGATAGTCAGGTGAGTGCATCCCTTGTCATAGCTGAGTTGAAATGCTGGCACAACCCCCTGCTCACAGTGAGCCCTCCATTAAATCTTGGACTTGGAACGGGATAGACCTTGCTCTTCACTTTTACAACTATGGACTCTATTCAGGAGCTGGAATTGGTACCATAACTATGGGCTCTCTCATGGGCTGCCTCTCAGATAACCTGCTGACAACTGAAGCAAATGATAGATGGAGAGATGAGATTGTCTGGAAAGGGAATGTGTGCTTAGAGAGGAGGAGAGGAGTGACAGGCAGAGAGCAGGCGTGTATCTTTCCCTTCTTTCTCAGCAGCTCTGTGTTCACCTGCAGAGACAGTGGGTCTGCTGGCATCTGCAAGTGCCAGCTTCTGCTCTTTGTCTACATCATCCACAGGCAGGCGTCCCTTAGGATGTTCAGCGATGAGTGAAGATCATATTTGGATCAAAAATTTCTAAACCATGTGTGTTAATGACAAATGCAGATGTAAATCTGTCTCGCATTCACTCTACTCCAAAAGGTCACAGGTAAGGCTTTTAGAAACATCTCAGTCCTTTGAATTGGTTTCTGTTACGCATGAACAGAGAAAAAATATTTTTATAGATGAAATTGTGGGGATTCTGGGTGGATGTATCACTGTGTTGGACCAGAGTCAGGAGCATGGCTGCTGTTATATGCATCATAAAACAGCACGGGCTTCTAAATGTCAGTTTTTATTGGTTGAAGGTCTAAAAATTGAAGCTTTATTCATTATTTAAACAGACTATATAAAAAGAGAAGTTGCTAATAAGAGCTGTTTGACATGCTTGCAGTAGGTATTATCCGCAATATATCGTAATATAAAAGAAAGGGATCCACATACACTCACTGCCGTTTTATAAGTTGCAGGTTTCTAGTGCTGGGTTTTATTCTCCTTTTACCTTCAGGACGGTCTTAATTCTTTGTTGCGCATATTTAACAAGGTGGTGAACAAATGGTCATAAATGGATGAACATGATCAGCAATAATATTTAGGTACATCGTGGTGCTTAAACGGTGCTCAGATGGTACTAAAACATCCAAAGCCTGCTAAGAAAATAACCACTACACTATTACACCAGCAGCAGCAGCCTGAGCCACTGAGGATAGATCCACACTTTCATGTTTTTACACCAACGTCTAAATACCACATCTGAATGTTACAGCAGAAATTAAGACTCATCAGACCAGGCTATATTTTTTAAATTATCTGTTGTTTAATTTTGATGGGGCAATCCAAATTGGAGCATCAGTTTCCTGTTCTTAGCTGACAGGTGTGCCATCCAGGATGATCTTCTGCCAGAGCCCATCTGCTTCAAGGTCCAACATGTTGTGCGTTCAGAGATGCACTTGTGCATATTTTGATTGTAACTATTTAGGTTACCTTCCTATCCTCTGGCATCAATGTTTTTGTAACATCTTCTTTAAATCCTAGATATGTTTGTGTGGGAAAATTTCAGTAGTCAGCAATTTCTGGAATGCTCCAACCAGACCATCTGACACCAAACACCATGAGATGGTCAACATCACTTTTTTTCATTTTTTTAAAATTTCCACTCTGTTGCTTAGCTTGAACTTAAGCAGATCATCTCGCTCATGTCTACGAGCACAAATGCATTGTTCTGTTGCATTCGTTTAGAATATGTAAACAGTATACAGAAAGTAATTTAGAAAGAAATACACAAAAATAAAGCAAAAATACACAACAATATAGCTTCACATTTGCTGCTTTAGTTTACACATACAAAGTGGGAAGAAGTGCAAACTTATAAGTTATTATTTATCCAGCTTTCTTATTGATATAAACCTCAAAAACAACAACATAAATATTTATTAGTGCAAAGAATTTAGACACTATGTGAAATACAAAATACAGTTGTGTATAGTTTTTACAATTCCACAATTTTACATCCATACATCAAAGACAAATACCTCCAATTTTGGAATGCTGATTGCGAAATCTGAGCAAACACAGAATAACAACTAAATAAACCTTGTGAAGTGACAGCAATGCTAACCAACTATATAGTCACCCTATATCTCCTCAAGGCACCCTCTGACTTCTATATTGTGTCTGTTCCTCATGTGTATCATATATGATCAGTCCTACATGCTATTTTACTATTTCACTCTCTCGAGACCCCCTGATCATTCAAAGACCAGTATGTAGAGTTTTAGACACCAGAACTTCCAAAAGTCTGACTTCTGTCAGCACGTACAGTTTCATACTTTCAAGACTGCACAAAACCACAATTTTCCTTGATTCAAGTAACCCACACATGTGCGTCTAGAATTAATGTTAATGGGTCACTCAAGAACAATCAATCAAATTTCAGGCACCAGACTGACATTTTTGATGTTGTCAAAAGCCAAAAAGAGTCAAATCTGACCAGAACAGTTTGTAAGGGTTAAAATGGCCACGAGAAGTTCAGGTGCCGTTGGTAAATCACAGAGAGAGAGAGAGAGAAAAGAAAAGAAAAAAGCCCGCAAGGATTAAGAACCATGTAAAGATTGTTCAGTTTCAAAGACTGGATGGTATTTTATTGAGACAGCATAGGGAACTCCCTGAATCGTGAAAAATAGTCAAACCTTTGAGGAGAAGTGGGTGCCGCAGAGTCCAGCCGAAGCTGCCTGAATGGGAGGTCCTCCTTTAGTTTGGGGACCAGATGTGTGAGAGAGGAGGGGTACAGAGGCAACCAGACAACAGCTACAAAATACTTCCTAGTTTCTCTAAACAAACTGCATAAGTTGGCAGCTCAGACCTTCGGCTGAACGCACGCATCTGATATCAGCTTCAGAGGTAAGTTAGATAATTCCACGGCCGTTTGTATTGATTACTGAAATGCGCATTACGTCGTTGCCCTGAAGGTGAACCGAGGACGTGATGACGTGAGGGGGTAACTGCTTTTGACAGACCCAGGGTGTATGATGTCTGAGCTGCTTTTCTGCTGTTTTCTTTATGGTAGTTGCTTCTACTTGACCGCCTACATTCATTCAAAAGCAGTAATTCCAAAACCGAGCGCAAATGTTGTGGCGCGTCATAGCACTTTGGCACAGTGTGCAGTCATCAGATACAGACTGTTAACGTCTAGGAGTGCGCAGCAGGTGCGCCATGTCACCTAAAAATAGACAAACAAAGCTGTAATGAGCTTTAACAGCAGTGATTTAAACGCGTTAAAGTGGAGGCAGTTTCGTTGTACTGTCAGTAATCAACTACATATACACAACCGACAAGTTGTTGTTGTTTTTGTAAGTTGTTTTTTTTTAAATACTCTCATAAAAGAGATCACATTTAATGTGATATTAGCATTGTTTTATGTGTGTTTTTGTGCTGTTAGTATGGGTGAGCTGGTTGCAAGAAATCATCAGAGTTGACTCAGAAGCTTTGCCTGTTTTATGAGCTACAGTGCCATAACCATCAAACCTTTCTTGCATATATTAAACGTCTCAGCCGGATTAATTTATTCTGTAAGGTCTGTGGTTCGTTTGAGCAAGTTACTTTAACATTTTTATTAGCACTGAATGCCATCATAGTAAAATTTCATTATGTTAGTTATGGAGGGCCTACTGTTTAACTTAAGCTGCAGGGAACTTAATAAGATCAACATTGCCTCATTCCACGTAACAAGATTTATGGAAAGACTTTCATTCAGCAAACTATTTTTATGGATTAATATGAATAGCCTAGGCTGTTCTATTATATTTGCATCCAGTACAGTGAAAAATCTGGAACGTTGAATCTAATTCTGTGACTCTGGCACTCTTGTGGATCAGGATAAGAAAATTTACACTTTGTGAGTTTTAACATGCCAGAATAATCATCTGTTTCCAGAGACATTAGGGACTGAGAGAGGTTGTCTAGTTTGGAAAAAGCCCAACTCTAATCCCATGGGAGAACGACTGCTTGTTTGTTAACACCAGAAAGCCCTCTCATGTGATGAAAGGGAAAACTGAATGTACCCTTTTCATTGAACACAAATGTAAGTACTCTGAGATGACCCGTTTGATTTCCCTTCTCTTATCTTTGTTATGGTTACAAATATGATTATGCCAAAGATGGCATGCAGTACATGGATTTGTCTGGAGCCACAATTGGCTGATGTCTCAGAGCACGATTTTCTTGGGTTCGACTGATTCAAAAGGTCAGGCCAGGAAAACAGGGACTCAGAGGTTTCGGGGACAGTTGA